GGCGGGGCGGCGCGGGCCGGGGCGGGGTGGGGGGCGGTGCGCCTGGTCACGGCACCAGCGGCTCCCTCTGCGCTCATAGGAAATCCCTGGCGCGAGCCGTCGGGCCACTTCTGGAGAAGACCAGGGAGCTCAATTGGACCCCACACGCTAGGCTAGACGAAGACACGAGGCTGAAGTGGAGCTTCGAGTTGAACAATCTTTCCCACCCTATATCCCCTCGGTAGCAACCACAGCTGACCACACAGTTATGACTCGTCGCGAATCTCATGTGAGCAGGCTTAATTAATCTCAACATCAATCTCAACATCCGGGGCCCCTGCTTCCCAGTTCCCTTTGCCCAACCGTGACACTGGTGATGGGAAGGGAGGAGGTAAAGGGTACATTCCAGGACCTGGAATTGAGGATGGCTGCGGAAAATCCACGACAGAAATTTTTGGCAAAAAAATTAATTTACTCTCTACCTGTTTCCCTATATGCTGGGCACAGCTCTAATACTAGAGTACAGTTTATCTTTTAAAGATGGAGTTGCTGCCTCTTTAGAGCTCACTGTCCAGTGGGAAAATGTATAAATCAATAGTAATTACAGCATAATTTCTCTAATAGAGATGCTCACGGCGTTATCCAGCAATTGGTGACCTCCTTTAGTCAGGGAAGATATTGTTATTCTCCGTGGACAGAAGCAACCATGGCTCAGAGGACTAGTTGAACAGGTGGGAAATTGAGGCATGGAAAGGTCGAGTGATTTGCCCAGCATGATCCAGCTATTCAGCAAAGGACTGACTAGTAGCAGAACCCAGGAAGTCTGCTTTTGCAGTGGCCTCTGAACCATTTCTGAGACAGCTATGCTAGACTGCATGATCATAGCCATCTCTCAACTCAAAAATTGGACCAAGACAGACTGAGATAAACAGCAAGAAGAACCAACAAATAATGAAGTCTGTTAAGCACTGAGACAGTTCATTATCATGAACTGTTCCAGAGATTCTCTCCAGAAAGGAAAATAAAATAAAATAAAATAAAATAAAATAAAATAAAATAAAATAAAAACAGAAGAGACTTATATTGCTTACTTGAATTTGAGAATGGATCATCAATTCTGAGAAACGGATACATGGAAGTGACCCCTTGGAGGTCCTGCCAGTCTGATAAATGGATTCTCTAGTTGTAATGAAAGTAAAAGAGACAACCACCTTGCCCAAAGCATCGTGGGAAAGCTAGCAGTGATTCTCATGGGAAGAAGAGTGTAAGAGGAAACCTAACATCCAACACCTTAGGACATTCTCTGGAAGTTCCATGAAACTCTGGAAGAGGCTGACTACTCAGAAGTCACTTTTGTGGTGACTTGCAAATAAATGGCATCTTGCAAATAAATCTTATAAAAAGTGTTGAAGATGAGTACTAAGTATTCCATAGTAATTGACTGTTAGTCTTTTTTCATAGCTCTTGATGTAGCAGTAGTGCTGGTACTTAACATGCATAAAATATTTTTAATGAAGTCTGTTAAGCACTGAGACAGTTCATTATCATGAACTGTTCCAGAGATTCTCTCCAGAAAGGAAAATAAAATAAAATAAAATAAAATAAAATAAAATAAAATAAAAACAGAAGAGACTTATATTGCTTACTTGAATTTGAGAATGGATCATCAATTCTGAGAAACGGATACATGGAAGTGACCCCTTGGAGGTCCTGCCAGTCTGATAAATGGATTCTCTAGTTGTAATGAAAGTAAAAGAGACAACCACCTTGCCCAAAGCATCGTGGGAAAGCTAGCAGTGATTCTCATGGGAAGAAGAGTGTAAGAGGAAACCTAACATCCAACACCTTAGGACATTCTCTGGAAGTTCCATGAAACTCTGGAAGAGGCTGACTACTCAGAAGTCACTTTTGTGGTGACTTGCAAATAAATGGCATCTTGCAAATAAATCTTATAAAAAGTGTTGAAGATGAGTACTAAGTATTCCATAGTAATTGACTGTTAGTCTTTTTTCATAGCTCTTGATGTAGCAGTAGTGCTGGTACTTAACATGCATAAAATATTTTACAGGATAAAAAATTACTCGTTGGAATATCTTTTTTGGTTTACATAACAAGCTTTTAAAACAGGTGGAGGAGAAAATACTCTCCTCGTTGTAAACTAATGTACAGAATTGTCAAAGTTCTTATAGCTGGGGAGAGAAAGAGCCATTTAAACTCAGATTTTGGGACCAGCAGGGGATGTGGTGGTTAAAGGAGTTGGACTCCCACATGCCTGACCATGGTTCAAGTCCTGGACACAGCAGCTTGAAATTCTCACTGGGCATGTGTGCATGCGTGCCCAAAATCCCAGGAGGAGAATGGAGAAGAATGGATCGTAGCATGGCCATCCTCCTTGGAAGGTGATTTTTCACTTTCCCTCTCATTGTCTTTCTCTGTCTCTCCTGTGAGCACGTGTGCCCTATGGCAAAAACCTTAAAAGTAATAAAATCAAAACAAACTCAGATCTTCTGTCTATATCCTTCATTGTTCCCTGCTGCCTCTCAGAAATTACTTCCATGCACTTTTCACCTGTTGGATTACAGAATAGATAAGCCAGCCTTGGAAAACTCACAAGTTCTGAGGTTGGCAGATCTGCAAGATTAGAGATGTCATCATGGTCCCTAGCATATGCTATTATCATCCACATCACCATGTCCCTAAGCATGTTCTTATTATCCTTCAATATCTAACCTGTTCTCTCTCAGCTTTCTCCCCAGACCCTATCCTCTTTCAGATCCTATCTATTCCATCAAACCTTTTTCAACATCTCTGGTTTTTGTAGCATGTATGTCTATACTGTCACCTGTATTTATATTGAACAAAAAGGATTTTTTTATCACCCTCAGCTTTATGCTTAGTAGAAAGATTATTCCATAAAATAAGAGATTCCATGAGATTTGCTTCTTCCATGTGCTGCCGTAATCACTGGTCATCTCCTGGCCATGCTTCTCCCTACACAGACCCCCCCCGGCAGGCAGGTTATGTACAGTCTCATACTCCAGTCTCTTGAAGCCTTAATGATAGGCAGCATTCCTAAGTATTCCATAGTAATTGACTGTTAGTCTTTTTTCATAGCTCTTGATGTAGCAGTAGTGCTGGTACTTAACATGCATAAAATATTTTACAGGATAAAAAATTACTCGTTGGAATATCTTTTTTGGTTTACATAACAAGCTTTTAAAACAGGTGGAGGAGAAAATACTCTCCTCGTTGTAAACTAATGTACAGAATTGTCAAAGTTCTTATAGCTGGGGAGAGAAAGAGCCATTTAAACTCAGATTTTGGGACCAGCAGGGGATGTGGTGGTTAAAGGAGTTGGACTCCCACATGCCTGACCATGGTTCAAGTCCTGGACACAGCAGCTTGAAATTCTCACTGGGCATGTGTGCATGCGTGCCCAAAATCCCAGGAGGAGAATGGAGAAGAATGGATCGTAGCATGGCCATCCTCCTTGGAAGGTGATTTTTCACTTTCCCTCTCATTGTCTTTCTCTGTCTCTCCTGTGAGCACGTGTGCCCTATGGCAAAAACCTTAAAAGTAATAAAATCAAAACAAACTCAGATCTTCTGTCTATATCCTTCATTGTTCCCTGCTGCCTCTCAGAAATTACTTCCATGCACTTTTCACCTGTTGGATTACAGAATAGATAAGCCAGCCTTGGAAAACTCACAAGTTCTGAGGTTGGCAGATCTGCAAGATTAGAGATGTCATCATGGTCCCTAGCATATGCTATTATCATCCACATCACCATGTCCCTAAGCATGTTCTTATTATCCTTCAATATCTAACCTGTTCTCTCTCAGCTTTCTCCCCAGACCCTATCCTCTTTCAGATCCTATCTATTCCATCAAACCTTTTTCAACATCTCTGGTTTTTGTAGCATGTATGTCTATACTGTCACCTGTATTTATATTGAACAAAAAGGATTTTTTTATCACCCTCAGCTTTATGCTTAGTAGAAAGATTATTCCATAAAATAAGAGATTCCATGAGATTTGCTTCTTCCATGTGCTGCCGTAATCACTGGTCATCTCCTGGCCATGCTTCTCCCTACACAGACCCCCCCCGGCAGGCAGGTTATGTACAGTCTCATACTCCAGTCTCTTGAAGCCTTAATGATAGGCAGCATTTCTGCACTATTGTAATAA